AATGTTCCAGATTTCTGTTCCCAGTGTGCTTGCTTGCTGTTGTATATGCATACCTACCTGATGACAGAGAAAAAGAACACTGCAAACGTAAGGTGTACTCACACCCCACACAGCACTCAGGGCAAGGAGGTTAATAAGGCTGGCCTGATTTCTGTCCTGACTCTCCTGTAGTCCAGCAGTCTACAGAGGGGAAAGGGAGTCCTAGACATATTTGTGCTGGGAAACTTCACATTGCTTGCATATCATTTATTGTGCTGATCCCAGACAAGCCTCCCAGAGATTGCTGGGATAGGCTTGTATTGTTGTCCTTAATAGAAACCTGTGCGGCAAGGGCTGTGGCTGCATCACCATCTGCATTGCTGGTGACAGTGAAGTGTGCCCTTATCAGAAGGAGAATTCATAAGAGGCTGCCCTGGGACACCACGCCACTGTCCTTCTGTGTGTCCTGACAATGTTATCTGTCCTTTCAGTGCCGAGTATCAAATGTCTGTCATGAGTACAGAAATTAATTTAATGTCACCTGAAGACATGCAATTAATCTTTTAGAGGTTTTCATAATACCTTTACAGAAAGAGTTGCCAGTTTGGCGGATTTGGATTTTGGGGTTTAGAAGAAGATAAGGAAAATTAATTTTTCATCAGGGTTAATACAAGCTAGCAGGGCCACAAAGGCTGAGGAAAATGATTGGGGAATTTGTCAAGTGTTGTCACTCCAGAATAATGCTGCTTAACGCCTGATAGGTATAATCAAGGGCTGAGGTTCTATGGAGAGGGATTAATCAATTTGCCTGCTAGTGAATGCAACTCAGTGATACCACTTCTTCATGGGCTTTAAAGAATGAAAATAAGATTTGATCTGTCAAATTGCAAGAAGGCCTGACAGTATCAGTGGGCATTTTTTATCTGTACATTTAAACCATTTGTTATAAATAAATTTGTCCTGCTAATGTTGATGGCCACAAACCTCATTTTTTTTTTTTTTTGGTTAAGATTAAGCTGATAAAAAGTATTCCCTAGGCTTACTTAATTCAGATAGATATTTTAAAAACCAAATACTAGTCTAAAGAGATATTTTATTGTATTCATTGAAGGGCAATGATTTTAGAGCAACTCAACAGTATTTTTCTCCATGGGGTTAAGATGGGCACACCTCTTCTGCCTCATCTGCTTTAGAGAAGTTGCTGAGCCACAAGTTAGACCATGCCCTGTGCTGTCTGGGACACTGCTCTTCCTGCACACTTGGGAATGTCATCTGCAATCCATCTACTCAAAGACACTGGTTTCCTTACAGCTCAGCAACAGATTTCTTAGAAACTTGTATAACCTCAGGACTAATAATTATATGTCTGTTTTCAGTGCTAGAACTGGGTATACAGGTCACAGCAAGCTTATGGATATAATAGGGTCAATTTAGTTTGGCTTGACTCTCACTCATGTTTGTTTATGTGCATGGCTATGAATATAAAAATATGTTCCTGGCAGTGGCCTGTTAGCATACCTAGTGACCATTTTCTAGTGTCAATCCAGAGTATAAAAGCTACCTAGAATTAGCTTTTCATTATATGAATATAGTATTTGTTCACTCAATTGGGGGGAAAATGTTTGTTTCTTTACAAAAAGAAATAACTTGTTTGTTTATATTTAAGCCTTGAATGCTAAAATGATCTTAATAAAAAGCTAAGGAATGGCATTATGATAGCTTAATTAAAACAGTCTAGTTGAGAGCAAATTATGTAATCTTAGTAGTGGGAAGGCTGCCACAGGAGGTTCCAGGAGCTGCAAAAGAAGATGACATCACAGTGAGGAGGAACTGTATGAAGCTTGGTTGTCTCTGGGTGGTGTCCTTGGTGTTGTGCAAGTGTGGCCAGAGGCTTCTGTTCCATGTGCAAAACAAAAGTTTTACTATTCGGTTTATAGGGAGGGCTGAAAGAGAACAGTTGCCAAAGACGCCGGCAAGTTCCTGGTCACTATTGCAAAGTGAAGGACAGGTGGAAAGTATAGAGTAATGTGCGGTTCTCTGGATAGTTGAGACTCTGCCGGGCCTCAAGCTTAGGTGATACTCAGTTCTAGAGGGCACACAGTGTGTTCAGAATTCACCTTCCCCCAGTGGAAGCTTAGGTGGTACTCCATTCTAGAGGGCACACAGTGTGTTCAGAATTCACCTTCCACCAGTGGAAGCTTTTGGAAAGGCAGACTCCATGGTTCTCAGAAAGTTAGGCTGTTGCCCCCTGCCTGTGGGGAGACCTCAGATGCTTTTGTCTTTGGGAAACAGGAGGTACATCCAGGTAGGCAAGGCCTTTTCTAAGTGCTTACAGTTCTCAAAATATGGTAAAAGTGATTGGGTTATCTCTCTGTACATACTGAGGGATTTTCATGGTAAAATGTTTTAAATGACCTGCCTACCCTCGCTGAGGGGAAGGAGTAGACTGTCTAAGGCTAGTGCCTCTCAGGCTGGGGTCTAGCTGTCCACAGCTGGATCATGTTATGGTGCACTAGTTATTTTAAGAGTTGAATTATACTTGGCCATAGTGTGAGATGCTTTTTCTGTCTTGCTAAAGTGAATCAGCTAACATCTTGATGAAGGTGCCCTCCCCTCCCTTTTTAAATAGTTTCTGAGGGATGTTCTTTAGTAGATGTCTTGTCTTTTTGATGTTGGTGACTTTGTGGTCAGCATGTTAACTGGCTTGGAGAATGAGCTAGAATATGGGCCTCACATCCCCCCTTTTTACCTGAAGGAGACTGGACTAGGTGCCATTTTACCTTAGCTCTGTGGTAAAATCCCCTGAGAGTAGATTGGAGCCTTTCTTTGTGAGAAATGTCTCTTCATTAATTTCGTGTCCTTGCTTCTCATCACTCCTTGCTGAGTCAGCTTATATGTATGTGTTTTGTATGATTGCCCTGTTGCATGTAAGTTGGTTGACAGCATAATGGTCATAAATTCTTTTCACTGCTTTAGGGTACATTGTTAGGTTCGTCTTTGTTTTCCAATTTGGAACATTTCTCCTCTGCCCATTTTTCTTGTTCCAGATGGTTAAAGGAATGTGATGTTTGTTCTCAGAACAGCCTGTGAGACTGATGGACTCTGTCCCTGCTCTTGAGTGTGACCTTCATTGTCTCCCTCCTGTTGCTTTGTTTGGAAATAGGGCTGGCTCCTCTTAAGATCTGATCTTGATCTTAGGTCTTTCCCCCTCCTTTTTCGTATAACTGTAATATTTGAATCCCTCAATTTTGAGGTGTTCTGTTTGCTTTAAATGTTTTCTCTTTTTAATCATTAGTTCTTAGCATGACTTCTTTAGTGCTAGACTGGCATAGTTTAGCACAGCCCTTCAGCTCTTCTTTCTTCCCCAGCCTGCAGGCATCCTGAGGAAAGTGCCTGGACTCTTTGTGGCTTTTTCAGTCTTCAGACAGGACCACAGCCCCAGAAGCTTGTGGGTCCATGGGTCAGTCCAGTTCTGTATAGAGAAAGGCAGCAGTGTACCCACACTTAGTCCTGGCAAGCTGTATTCATCACCTGCTTTTCCACTGTGTTGATTCCACTACCCCAAAGTGGTTGTTTAGCAAGTCTATGAAGTTTTGGAGAGGCCAGACTTAGCAGTTTCTTCATCGTGCAGTGGGCCAAAGCTCTGTCTCTTTGTAACAGTTTTAAGCTTATATTTTTCTTGGGTCATAGTTCCATTGGTTGCTTTCGTTTGTTCCATTAGGTAGTTTCTAAAAGATAACTTAGAAGTTTTCTAAACCTTTTTGTGTGGTTATAACAAAATAACAGAAGCTGGATGTAGAAAAGAGATTAATTTTGGTTCTTGATTCTCCAGTCTGGGACATTTCAGAATGTGGTACTCGGATCCAGAATCTGATGAGGGCTTCATGGAGGAAAGTCAGACAAGTGCTTGCAGAAGAGAGGGGGACATAAGAGGCCATGTGCTTTCTGATAGTTAGTGACATAACTAACCCATTGTCACAGAACCACATTAATGAGTGATGAGTATGCAGCCCCTCTGACCAAGACACCTCTAAGAGCCTTATGGCCTTTCTTGTGACTGCACTGATGGCTAAACTTCAGCATGGCTTTGGTGGGAATAAACCACAATCCACCTACAGAGGCTGGGAATTGAAGGTAGATATAGATGTACTTCTTTTGAAATTGGTTGCTAAATCACCAACTATTACTCTCATGGCTGTAGAGCCTGCATGTCAAGATTACCAACTATCACCTGATGTATGTATGCCTCTTGAGGTCAGGAGGAGTACAAGTTTAGTGCCACTTCTCAAGGCCCAGCATTCATTTCTTTTTCATCTGTTCTTTCTGTCCCAACCACCAGTCATTCTTTGAAACACTATGCTGAAAAACTGCAGATTGCCCATAGGCCTCACCAACAGACTGTCTTTATGCTACTGCTTGGTACAGTAGACTCGGGTGCCAGCTTGATGTGGGCCTGCCTCATGGGCCTTGTGGTCAGGAGCAATTGAGATTGAGGATGAGAACAGGAGGACCAGAGATCACGTTGTGGATGTTTCCAAAACTCTTAGCCAAGCACATGTGCTACTTTTCTGGCATCCACTCACTGTGAAACTGCTAGTGAGTGGTACATATCCTCAGGTGGGAGTCTCCTGCAACACACGCTGGAGCCAAGCAGCTTCCGCATTTGTGGTGTTTGAGCAGCACATACAAAGTTTTAAGACCACTGCTTGTGCACGCTATCGGTTTTCAACAAGAGTGTTCTTGGCAATAAAAAATGAAGTAGTTAACAATTTAACCAGTACAAATTAAAAAGTCCTTGTGTTCATTGCAGCCCCTTTAAGTGGATGTATTCATTAAAAGAAAATGTTTTAAATTTCAAAAATACTGCATTCAAAATCTTAACCACTGCCCATTGAGAAGATTTCCTACTGGCTCCAGGGATTATTTATGTCTGAAAGGTTCTGCCTCTGGGGCAGCACTGGCCATGGGTTGGCTGGAATGGTGGGCAGACACTGATCCGCCTGCTGCCTTATTGATTTCAGCAGGGAGGAGAGAGCGATGGCTTTTCTCACTCAGAGGGCCAGCCCCAGCGGCTTCCCCAGACTCCGGACATGAGACAGCAGCCTACTCGCAAGGTGACGCTGACCAAGGGGGGTCCTCAGCAGCCCCAGCACCTGCCTGTGGGGCCCCACATGTACCCGGCTATTCCTCCAGGGATCAAAAGCATCCAAGGGATTCACCCAGCCAAGAAGGTACTGAAGTGGAAGGGCCCTGCCCCCGCTGTAGGTTTCCTGGCCACTGGTTGAGAGAAGTTGGCATTAGGTGGTTTTTCTGACACTTGCTAATGTTCACATTTGTAAACGAGCCATTGTTTTCCCCTCCCTCCCTCCCTCTCTCCCTCCCTCCTGCATTTTGTTTTCCAAGACAAGGTTTCTCTGTATAACAGTGTTGGCTGTCCCGGAACTCACTCTGTAGACCAGGCTGACCTCGAACTCACAGAGGTCCCTCTGCCCCTGCCTCCCAAGTGCTGGGGTTGGAGGTATGCACCACTATCACCCAGAGAGCATAGTTTAGCAAGCCTGTCCCTCCAGTCATTTACTCAGTTATTTACTGGGTGGTAGAGTTGGAGAGTATAGCTGTCCTGTACATCTGAGCACCATTGCACTGTACAGACAGCACTGGCACCTACCTGTGTTCATTACACCCACTGACACCAGGGGTGTCCCTAATAGAGACTAGAGAGCTAGAACTGTACTCTCCCTGTCTGTAATTACGCCTCAGCTCAAGGAACAGACACAAAGCCTTTGTGGAGGTATGATGGTGCAGGTCATCCCTGAGCCCAGCCTGCCAGGTGGGAGGCCTGGAGCTCACAGGCTCCCTGTTCCCTCTCGAAGAGGCCAGTCGAGTCATGTTGCTGGTAGAGAAGTAACAGGGTACTATTCTTCAGCTTCTGGGGGAAAGGCAGCCTTCTAATTTTCAAAAGCAGATGAGCATAAAGTCCTCCCTAGAGCAGTAGCACATATATGAGGTACAGGTGAGGCCAGGCAGGAGGAGACTGGTGCTGTGCTGGCTCTGCCCTCTTCACTTGTGGGACCTGCTCATGCAGCCTTCCATTTACCTTGTGTGTGCTCTCTCTCACACTCGTAATGAGATAGGATCCAATAGCAACAGGGCGGTGTGCACACATGAGTGATAAATCCAGCAATAAAATGGTTGATCCCACAGATTATTCCAGGATGCATTTTCTTTCAGACCCAACCCCTGGCTATATGAAGAAGATAACTTTAGGAAATTACATGCAGGTGTGCTAGAGGTGCTTCCCCCCCCAGCCCCCTTAGCTCTCCTTTAAGAGGCCAATGATGTTTCTCACTTGTTAGAGCTTTTGTGGGGTTTTATTAGACAATTATGGCAAAACCTATTATCTAGCTGAAATTTGTACCAGAGTGTTTATAGTGTGGTTTTCTGTAATGAAAGCAGAAGACTGGTTAGTTCACTTCTGACTTGTCTCCCTGTGAATCCTGGAACTGTTCCTTCACTTCTCCGAAGCTTGTCTCAGCAGTAGTGTAGGCCTTCTGTAGATGAGCCTCTAGTTGTATCCTTCTACGTTCCCATACCTGTGGTGTCCACACATATTCTAGGCATCAACTCTGGCTTTCTGCCCTTTCTTACGAGGTGGCAGCGTATGATGGATTGCTCCTTTTAATCAAATGCTAGGACAGAATTAAGGCAGGACACAGGTGAGGTACAGCATGCCTCTCTCTAGTCAGACAGCTGCCTGTAGCTGACTCTGTGGGTGAGGTCTAGTGTGTTTCAGTTCCACTGTTTCTGCACTCCTGGTTAGATAACTGCAGAATTAGGCAATCTCTTTTTAGTTGTCTTACTAGTTGAAAATGCTGGAAATGCCAGCTATCTCTTCTTTCTAAAAGCCCTTCATTGTAGTTCTGACACTTGGGTAACCTTGAAAGATGGTGCTTTAGGAGTCCTTTTATTGGCAGATTGGTATGTGATTGTGTAAAAGCTCTGGCAGTGATTGTCACACATGGCTAAATGAAGTCCTGTTTCACAGGGTTGAGGAGGGTGAATATAAGCCTTGCCCATTTGAGTTGGATCCCAGAAGCTGTGTATGACTTGTTACTGTTGAAGTTTTAGCACTGTAAATACCATGTGTCCGTTGGCCTATGCTGTGGTGGGAGAAGTGTGTGTGTGTTTGGGGCAGTTAGGATGGGGTCTGACCCTTCCTGTGCTAATTGCAGCCACTGTCTGTATCCTTACAGAGTTTGTATCGTGAATGAAAGTTAACACCAGAATCCCTCCCAATCATAGCTGCAGAACTCTAGGATTTCCATCTTAGCTTCATTCCACTTGTTGGTGTTGCTCCAGTTAGTTGTTTGGCCATCCTCTCTCTACTGGTAGATGAATGGAGAAGATTCTATGGCTCCCAGCATGTCCTCATGGACCCTGGATGCATGCTTATTTTGTACTTTATTAGCCACTACAGGAAGAATCTCCTCAGATATCAGATGCATCTTCTTTGTCATTGCCAGGCCATCATGCATGGACGAGGCCGAGGAGTGGCAGGTCCCATGGGCCGGGGGCGCCTAATGCCAAATAAGCAGAACCTTCGAGTGGTGGAGTGCAAGCCGCAGCCCTGTGTGGTGTCCGTGGAAGGATTGTCTTCATCCACCACTGATGCCCAGCTGAAGAGCCTGCTGATGTCTGTGGGGCCAATCCAGGTGGGTTGCCTGCAGCTGATGATGACGCCAGTAGGTCATCTCTCCAGGTAGAACTACTGTGTCATACAGCACATCAGACACTGTCAGTTACACTATACTTGAAAAGAAAGGTGTTAATGCTTGCCTCAGATGGAGTTTAGACTCTTATTTATAACATTTAAGAAGTAAATACTCTAGTAGAATGTACTATCCTTTGAAATCTGTCCTGAAGTTCACATGTATACACATACCTATACTTTTTTGTATTGAATCACATTTTATTTGTGATAATTTCCCGAATTTTCAAGTAGTTAGCCAACTTGTCTTATTTTGTGAACTCTGATGCTCATTTAGTACAGATGCAGCAGTAACTTGCACTTTGTTGTCATGTCCTTTAAAATGGCAGAATCTGATGCTTAGGGTCTGAGCTCGTTGCTGGTGATAAGAAGGATGGAGACAGGCACTATTCCATGTCTGCTATAAGCAAGTTTGACCTGTATTCTGCTCCTGTAGAGTGGTCTTCAGAGTCATGCATGGCCAGTGGAAAATGCAGGTTATCCAGAATATGTTACATTTCTGAGCAGAACAAAGGGCCATCTTTAGTTCTGGACTAAGGTGTATCAGATCTCCATTTACAGCTGGGTATAGTGGCTCAGGCCTTTAATCCCAGCATTTGGGATCCATAGACAGGAGGACCTCTGTGAGTTTGAGGCCAGCCTTAGTCTACATAGTAAGTTCTAGGCCGGCCAGGGTTATAGAGCAAGAAAGATCCTGCCTCAAACAGACATATGTCTGTTTACTATTGAGAGGTCCTAAAGTGAGTAGAAGAGCAAGCCTTCTAAATCAGAGCCTAATGTTTTGGTATTTGAGTTTAATGGTAGCCACCTTCATTATTGGATTATTAGAGAGGCTATTAGATTTAATTTAGTATTTATTATTGAGAGGTTAACCTCCAGACTTTGGCTCCCACTTTTGCTAGCAGTTGGTAACACTCTGTCTTTAAGGATAGATGGTTTTAGCTACTGTCATGGTATATGCCTTCAGCACTGAGAGGTGTGCACACAGGAGGAGCATGAGTTTGAGGCTAGCTGAGGTACTTATTGAGACTGTCTAAAAAGATGATAGCTGTTTTCTGCGTATGGGTTATTCGCAGGAACAGAATTAATAGTAGAGGGTTATAGATGTATTAACACGTCAGAATAACGAATAGGTGAAAATTTTGGGTCCCATAATGGCCCAGATAGCCCAAATTCCAACTCGAGCCTGGTCCACCGTTATGCACCTTGGCCTCAGGTACTTGCTGCATGAAGGCTGGTGTTTATAATCGGGTCTTGTGAGGATTCTCACTTTCCAGGATTTCTGCACTGAGTGTGAAGGCAGCTGTGGCACTACTGCCATTTGCCCTGGCTTCAGCATAAGCAATCCTGGGCATTCTCCTGAATCTGGTGATCCCCAGCAGACATGTTGAGTGGGACTCACAGGCTGCCTGTTTTTCTTTTTTTTTGGGGGGGGGGTTTGGTGGGTGGGGGGGCAGGGCAGGGATCCTCTGTGTAGCCCTAGTGTCCTGGACTCACTGTGTAGACCAGCCTATTCTTGAACTCAATGATCCAACTGCCTTTGCTTCCTGAGTGCTGGGATTAAAGGCCTGCACTAACCAAACAAAACAAATTCTGGTAGTATTTGATGGGTAAAGAAGTAACTCAAGGCTGGAGCGATGGTTCAGCAGTTAAGAGTGTGTATTGCTTTTCTAAAGGGACTAGAGTTCAGTTCCCACCACCCGCATGAGATGACTCATAGCTGCCTGTAAACATTTGACACATCTGGACTTCTTAGGAATCCTTGCACACGCACACATGCATACTCAATTTTTAATAATTTTTTTAAGTGACGGAAATGTGGTTTCAAGAGTCTTTCATTACTTTGACTAGTTTGAATACAGATTCCCAAGAAATGGTGTTAAGTGGCTGACCTAGATCTTCCAGCACTGTTGTCCTGCTTTGAGAAGAAACAGTGTGTTTTTTTTCTTTGGGACATTATACCTTGGTGTTTGGGAATGAAATGTAGGGTTGATGTGCTTTGAGTATGGCACCACCTAGTGCTCACTTACTTATTACTGGTGTTGTTTTATCAAGTCTTGCTCAAGAGAGTGATGGTAAACATGTCAGACCAGAGAAATACATTTCTTGGGGCAGTGATCCCATAGAAACTACTGATCTCGATGAACATGCTGCTGCCTAACACTCTACAAACTCTTCTAGACCAATGGAGACTGTGAAACGTAGAGCAAGAGATAGATACAGATACATGAGGTGTAGGATGTATCCTGGTGTTCAAGTTTCAGATGGAGAAGGTGCAGCTCTGAGTCAGAAAGTCACTCTGTTCTGAGAGCAGAGCCAGGTTAAAGCTTAGAGCCTAGGAAGTAGGTTCATTGTAACTTCAATGATCCTCTGTTAATCTGTTTGCTAGGCTTTGCCTGAAATTATTTTGAGAAGAAAATAGTTTTTACCCCATGAACCTCCAGTATTTGAGAACAAAAAGTCACTCCTCCCCATATGGCTTAGTGACTGACTTCAAGACCAGTACTGGGTGTGAGCCATAAATGGCATCTGATCCCTGCCTCCGGAAAGACACTACTCTTTTTCATTTTCTGTGTTAGCATACTTGTTTCTTCTAGTAGTTCTGTGGACTAGATTGAAATGCCCAGCTACTGCAAGTTTTGTTTTTCACTGCCACATTGATTCTTGGAAAGACAGCTGGCCAAAGTAGTAAGATAACAGGCTCTGGGAGCCTGCCTGCCTTGAATTAAGATCCCTGCTTTGCCATTTCTTAGTGTGCAGCTTTTGTCAGAGTTCTCGCTTGAGAGCCAGGTTGGCTACATCTGTAGAAATGTAGAATTGAGAAAAATCCAAAGCTCTGGGGGCTAAGTGTGCCATCCCTGCACCATTCATGCATAGGGCCCCTCACCCAGAGTGGACTCTTGGTGAATATCCCATGCCACCCCCACCCTGCCATGTGGCCATAACCCATTTACCCTTTGGTAAACCAGGGATGAGTGCCATTCTTTAGAGGGGTGAGGACACCATCAAAGGTCACCTTCCAGAAAGGGATAGGGCTTTAAAAGTTTTTACCCATGGGTACCTGTATTAGTCTCAGAGTGTGAGAGGTTGGGCAGGCTGGAGGGAGGTCTGAGTCTCATACTAGAGGGCAAACATGTTGCTTGCTCCCCAGCTAATCAGCAGCACTACTTTGCACAACTGCTCAGGGAGGCAAAGAAGGACAGGTGACTTGTTTTCATGTTCTAGGTGACAAGCTTATAACATGTAATTGCTCATATTCTACGTCACTACGTCACAGTGGGCATTAGTTAATTGTCTTTGTTTTCTTCCCATAGAGTTTACAGATGCTTCCCCAGCAACGGAAAGCCATAGCAAAGTTCAAGGAGCCAGCCCACGCACTAGCATTTCAGCAGAGATTCCACAGGTAGCCTCTGTGCTGTGTAGTTTGGCTGGGTGGTTGGAGGGTTCCTGTGCTGTGCTGTGCTCTGCAGAGGAGCAGAACAGGGCTGCACGTCTTTTTTCTACAATGGGAATTTGTTGTCTGGAGAAGGCCTCTTCTGCTTCCATATACCTTAAGTTTTGCTCATCAGGCTCTGCTTCATTTCTGTGCACCTTAGTGAATTGCTAACTGTCTGTTCCAATTTCCACAGGCACATGATCGATCTGTCCCACATAAATGTGGCCCTGATAGTGGAGTGATCTTGAATGGGAAAATCTGACCTCATGCTGCACACACTGTGGAATTTCTTCAAGGAAGCTATAGGTTGGCGCAGGATCCCCAGAAGTGTAGGTCTGTCCAGTCTGCAGTTTGCCAACTTGTCTGCGCGCCAGCCAGCCACAGGGTGATTCCAGAAGAGAGTTAAACTGGTGGACATGGGATTGGAGTCTGGTGTTCGATTGCTTTGAATTCTGTTGTTCACAAGAACTCTGTTCTCGTGTTCTTTTGTTTCCAAGTGCTTACAATGCATGTAGACCTTGTTCTTCGTGATCCTACTGTGTGATTGGTCACAGTCTTAGATTCAGGAAAGAATGTTACCAGCTCAAATTCCAAGGACTTTTCCACAGCAAAGAATATTTGATAATGGTTGCACTTATCTTCAGTACAGGCTAGAAAAGAATTCTCAACCAGGCTTAACTGGAGTGGTCTCAGAAAGCCCTCACAGGCTCTGGTAAAACATAGGTAAAAATTCGGGTGATTATGATTGACAGGCACTTGCCCTGGGAAGCCAGGGTGTGAGATGGGTGGCTGGGAATGGTGCCATGGAAGTGGCAATTCTGCTTCTTGTAAATACCTCTGAAGTGCTGCCTGTTTCAGCAGAAACTCCCAGGTGGGCAGAGTGCTAGCTAAGCAAGCACAGGGAACTCTGTGGCCAGTGGCTCAGTCACCCTGCAGGCAGCCCTCTTGGCCTAGTTTCCTGGCACAGGTTGAGGCACAGCTTGAAGGGTGGTCAGACCTACTCGGGCCTCTGCTTTTTAAATGCCCTAGCTCTGTGGTGTGTGCTGTCATTGCTTTGATTACCTCACTGCCCTTGAGGGCTTTGAGTTTCCTTTGGGTAACCCTTGTATCACTTGTGTGAGGGATGGATTTCTCAGCAGGGCTGTTGCTCTCCAAGATAAGTGTGTCTGCCCACATTAGTCATGTTGGTCAATTCCAGCAGGTGAGACTCACTTTGTACAAAGCATCCCATGGAAGTCCATACTGTGCAGACATTGAACACAGTGCCTTATTATGTTTCCCCATGAGCACGTCAGCGTTCGGGACGCACTCTAGAGTGGGCAATGACACTAGGACACACTCAGGACTTTTTAGTTGTGTCTTACACCTGTCATTTTATCTTACTTACATACCTTAATAGGATTGAGGAAGATAGGAGTCTGTTGTCACTTACTGTCGCTGGATAATGAGGAGTTAGGTGCAGGTTATGTTACGTTTTCAATTAAGTTGCCAATGTTAATACCTGGAGAATGGTATTCCAGGCCCTGTGAAACTGCATAGGACCAATTCTGAGATGACATTATGTGGTGGCAAGGAGCACTGGGGCAATATAATGGTTGTTAGGGTTCCGGGCAATTAAGGCAAGGCACTCATAGGATGTCTTAGAAGACCTTGTGGCTATGGTGCCACTTGTGAGCACAAAGCCTCTGCCTTACCGCTGGCAGGCTGCTCTGAGGGCCAGCCCTGCGGTGCCTTTACCAAGCTTGGCCCCAGCCCATCCCAGTGCTATCAGCTGGTCGTCCCACTGCACCCCCCACTCATTTCTCTTAGACACAGGGGTTGTTGATAGATATTTCACTAAATTGGTGAGTTTGGCAATATGTCAGCTCTAGTTGGATGAGATAGAGGCCATGTAGGAACTTGAAGATTAGGACTCAGTAAAAGGAGTTTAACAAGTTTGCTTCTTTCTCAAGTAGTTTTTGAGTGTTGGGCCTTTAAAACCCAAATCTGCATTTTTGTCTGAAAAGTAGGCACTGATGCATTGAAGTCACTTAAGGAAACATCCTCATCAACAGCACTGTTCACCTCAGGCCTTAGGACCGCTTTGAGTGTGATGAGGTACCCAGGAGCATGTGTGTCCCTTAACTGTCTGCACACATGAGGTAGCCTTCTCTTATTGCAGTGTTCTGAGAGACCAGCTCCAAGCACTGCTTAGAACAGCCGCTTACTCTGGCCTTGGTACACATCCACCTGGAGTGGACTGTCAGACCAGGCAGGACAGTCTTAAAGGCTTAGCGTCTGTGAAGGAAACCACAGAAAGTGAAAGAAGCAGAATTAGAAAGAACGTTCCCCACCCGCAGTGCTCTTCTCACAGTGAAGTCAGCCACCACCCGAACTCCACCCGTGGGAGATCTGCTGCAACCATTATCTCTGTTCTTTCTTTATCATGCATTTCAAATGAGGAGAAAAAGCATTAGCATACTGTGTAAATACGGACCTTTTAAGATTAAAACGTTATTGGAAATGCTTTCAACTCAAACAGCAACACCTTAGCTATTTGTTAGTTCTTTTTTTGTTTTTGTTGTTGTCTTATCAAAGTTTAATGGAGACACTTTCATAATTGTTGTTGTGTGTACATTCGATTTTCATAAAGATGGTAGTAAGTCAATACATTAGCCCTCATCTGTGTATTATTTGTTCACAAGTTCCAGAAGGTTGAAGGAATGACTCTCTCATCTGTCCTGAGGTGGAGAGTAGGGGGAGGGGACAAACAACTTTCCCTCTCTTTGCTTGTTTATTTTGTGCTGTAATGATTGTGAGTTCACTTAGTTGCTTACTTCAACATAATAACCTTGTGTTGCCCTTGGCTTGGCCACATTTGTTAAATCCTTATATTGATACTCTTCTTGAGGGGAAAAATCTCACCTTTTCTTTTCCAAAAGATTCTGAGGTAAACTCCCTCCCTGGCCCTCACCCAATATGAATAGGCAGCTTCTTGTGCAGGTCCCGTGCCCATGCCTTGCCGTGGAGGATCGTGGCTGGATGGGATGGGGGTGGGTTTTCCATAACCATTTTCATGTGGGTAGTTCTCATGTGATGTGCAAAGGTCTGGGATGGTCATCTGAAGCAGGGTGGAGCTTAAGTCCTGTACTCAGAGGTCATTTTCCCCCCAAGCAGCGTTCTGCCTGAAGCAGGTAGAAGAAGGCTTTGCTGTTCATTGAAGCTGACAGGGAACCTGAAAGTATGGAGGGAGGACTGGACAGTGGGCGAGGAGAGAGAGTCTTAAGGATGGGACCCCAAGGCTGCTCCTTCACTCAGGGGTAGGGCCTCACAGATGGGCTCATGAGGAAATTCTTGCTGTGACGTAGGCTAGGTGAAGGTCTTTCTTGGAGGACTAGGCTTATGGACTATACCTGTCTTTTGTGTTTTGGTTTTTTGTTTTGTTTGTCTTTTATTTCCTTGTGGCAATATTGGGAAGGTAAGCTTGATGTAGACTGTTGGCTTATGCTAGTTGAAGATAGGTAAAGGCACTAGCCCAAGAGGTCTGTGCAATAGCTAAGTATTGTTCTTGGTCATCATTGGGTGCTCTGAGGCTCATGTCTGTATCCTCTGACCTGAGACAAAATGAGCGAGTCAGGTGGCACGTCCCTGGGTCAGAGCTGTGGGCCACAAGGGGTGGCTCTTTTGCTTGCTGTTTCCCTTTCTGGGAATCAGCTTTAATTCCTGTCTCCTGCTTGTTGGACCCAGCTCTGGCTTTGCATCCTCACTCTCATGCCCACTTGTTTTTGTTTCTCAGAAAGGGAGAAGAGGCCTGGGAGAGCAATTGGCCTTGAGGTGCTCTGCAAAGGAGCTAACAAATGGGGCACAGGGTGGACAAGACCAAGACCCCTCCCCACCAAGGAAGCCACTTAGCTTAGCTCAGTTATGGGAGAGATTTAGGTACTTTACCAAGTTTAATAATACTGCAACAATGGTTTGGGTATTTTAAAATTTGTGAAGTATTATTTTTATATTCTTAAATATAAACTTCAAAAGGCACTTGGCCTTGTCTTAGTAAATCCTAAGGATTTTCTGTAAGGTTTTTGCAACCTATTTAGTTTTTGTCATTTAAAGATACCTAGCTTCTTAGGTACACAAGCCCATGGCTCTTGTGTATGAGAACGAGAGTAATCCACTGATTCATATTGGATCCCAGGTATACCTCCTACTGGTATCAGGTGTCAGGAAGGGGTACTTGTTTAACACACCTCACCTGACTTTCCTAGAGACTGCTGATCATCTAACTCTTTCTGTTGAGTGTTGGTAGGACAGGCACTGTCACTGAGAAGCTCTCTCCTTGTCCTTTAGGCCTACCATAGGTAGAGGTTATAAGTGTTACAAATGTTCTCCCTGGCTCAGTTTACTGATTTGAAAAGGTTTGCAGGTGATTTAGAGAGAACCTTGTGTAATTTTTGTCTCACAAGTCCCACAGGTGGGGTGGGCAGGTGCATGTTACTGTGTTTTGTTTGGAAGTTTAATGTGCTCTAGCCAGTAGACCTCTTGACCTTCTTACATGACTTTCTGCTAAACTACTTTTCGTTTTAAGGACAAGTGACGCGGAGGCTGGTTTGGGGACTAACACCTTTTGCATTCTGTGCTGTTGTCTTAGAACATACACATTGTAGACAGCATGTTGTGCCCAGCCCACACTGACTGGCCCCTGAGGAGCAGATAACCACTTGTTCTTTACTTTTCACAGGTGTGGCATCCAGCGCAGTGTCCTCTGTGAGGACTTCCTTCCTAGGCTTTAATTTCACTGTTTAATTTTCAGGTGGTGCGGTGATGGAGCGTGGTTTCGTTTCGCTTTAAAAGCGCCTGATGTCCTGTTCTCCTCTCCCACTCTCTCATCTACTCCCCTCCCTGGCTGGGGCTCTGGCTCCCTCCTTACCTTCTGCTTTTTCCCCTCGTGTTCCCACCTGAGGCGTTGTCACTGTCCCCCTCCCAGTGATTGTCCTGTTTGCATGCTCCCTGCCTCCTCTTCCATGGTTTCCACACCTGCAGTGGTCACTGATACTCACTTGAGTCAGGCTCCCTCTGGCAGAAGGGGACATTGTGGATGTCTGCACCAGGGCCACATCTCCAGTTTCTCTAACCCTTTTGCCTCGACAGGTCTTTCCTTGGGATTTGCTCCTCCAGAACCTGAATTGGAGAGCCTGACCTTTTGCTTGTTATTTTGCAGTGTGACTCTGGGCCTAAAGATGCCAGTGCCTCTCAGCTGTGGTCTGCATGTCATTAACCACCCCTCTCTGTTTTTACCCCTCTACCTTTGCAGGACCCAGGGCGTGGGTCAGTTAGTGGTAGCGTGCTCTCATTCGCTTGGAAGTGGTGGCCATGTGGCCATTATACTGCCCTTGCTGATATGGCCCTCGTCGTCGTGTAATGTGTGTGCGCCTCCCTGCTGTGCGGGCAGCTTGGAGTGCGGGATATGTTGCTGGAAGTGCGCTGGCTGCTTAGAAACCACGAGACACCGCCTTGCTTTCTTCGGCCTCACTGTTTCTGCCGGTCTTCGTGTTTCTGCCAGTCACGTGCTCTTCCCGTATGAGTGACACTGCCGTGCTTTACTCCGGTTTTCCTTGGCATTAACCACTTGGGAACTCTTGCAGGCTGTATATGTGAAAAATAGTAGTGACATAGGTGAAAAGAAAATGTATTGTGTGTATCATTTGTGTGGTTTCATAGCAAAAGAAAAAAATGTGTTTGAGCTGTACTGTAACCAAAAATTCTGTCAATAAAATATTAGAGGTTCTCCTGGCTCTGAAGTGTTACTTCCTCTTGCATCTCTCTGCCCCACACAGTGCTCTGGGCGGTGACTGTCCCTGAATGGGTGGGATTGGGGAGAGCTGCCCCCCAGCACAGTCCAAAGCTGCAACACGGGTGTTTCCTTAGAGGAACCATGGAATCAAGTAACTGTTCTCCACTGACTTTGGGTTGTAGGATTTGGAACTGACCCAATGATGACAGGGTGTTGGAGTTGGGGAGTTCATCTCTCCTTAGAACTAGTAATGTATTCATGAGTAATTTGTTACAACTTGCAAGAAGTGCATATTCTGTCACTTTGTTCTCAAGAGCCTAGACATGGAGGCATCAGCCAATGTCCCAACCCTCCTTGCAGCTAGCTGCTGGCTTTGTTCCATACAGATCTGGTATTCCCGGTCTGTTTTGAGAATGAGGCATCATAAAGCTGCCCAGAGAAGAACCCTATAGTTCAGGCTTCTTCCTGAGCTGGGTCATCTCCCTACCCTACTCATTAAGCTGTGTCGCTCCCCCCTTGTCTGGGCCTACTGCTGTTCTGCACAATAGTGCTCTTACCGGCTCCTTGACTTTCTTGAGAAGGGAGTACATGTCACACCTGACCCAGACCTTCATCACAGCAAGTGGCTGTGAGTGAGGATAAGGCAGGTGCACATGCAGCCATGCCTTATCAACCTTTCATCTTGTCCATCAGACCAAGGCTGTGTGTTGACAGTCAATAGGAAGGGACTTAGGGAAGCTCCACTTACTTGAGCAAGAAGGAGACACTGTCCAGTCTTACATCCCACACAGCCCAGTTGTAGGTCATTTTTACATTTTGGCCATCCACCCATCCCAGGGTACATAAAGGGCTATGTATCCAAGCATCAGCTGGAGGACAGGGAATCAGAGATCGATTCCAAATATATTGCTGGTGTGTGCCATTCTATTCCTGCTGGTGAGACAGTGGGAAAAATATTCCTTTTGCCTTCAGAGTAGACCACTAAGATGAGGTACTGTTTTTCCTTTTGAGACATTTTTGTCCTCTAGGTCTGTTGATGCAGCTCGTTTCAGAAATTCCTTTTTTAGTCTGCTGGTGGACTGTGCTTTGCTCTTCTGTCCATGTGTTGAGCAACTAGGTAGCTTATACCTAGTTGTTACTGTGAGGACACAAGCATTTCAATGCCTTTAAGTCCTGAATTCAGTGGTTTTGGAACTGTTCCGTTTTGAGGAGGAGCCACCGTCTTGGTCTCTGCAGAATCTGCACCGTTTTACAACCTAGTCAGTGGAGTCCAGGGCACCCACCTTCTTCTCACCAGCATGTGTTATTTTTGTGACTGCTGTCCTGTCAGGTATGCAGTCATGTTGGTGGTTTTGGTTTGATTTCTGATGAAGCTGAAAGCCCTTTTTTGTTCGTGGCCATTTGTGTTATCTTAGGAATAAAGTCATCAAAGCCAGCTTTTCAGATCTGTGCAAATAAGCTTTTAAAAATATGGATGATACAGTTTCCAGTTTATTAAGAGACCACAGTGGGCTGGACAGGTGGTGGCGCACGCCTTTAATCCCAGCACTCCGGAGGCAGAGGCAGGCAGATATCTGTGAGTTCGAAACCAGCCTGGTCTACAAAAGCAAGTTCCAGGACAGGTTCCAAAGATACACAGGGAAACCCTGTCTTGGAGACAGAGACAGACCCGGAACATCTAGCTTACCCTGTTCTCTGTGGGAGCAGCAACAGGATGAGCTCGTTGCAGCTGAGATGCAACATTCTATGTTGGCACAAAGCATCTTTGTCATTACTGTTCTGATTACCAGTGCAACAGAAACCCTAACGGAAACACTTGAGATCAAATACTACATTGCGAAATATGATACTGGGCAGGAGAGGTGTCTGAGTAAAGTGTTTTCTGTGCAAGCATGAGGACCTGAGTTTGGGTCTCCAGTCAACATAAGCTGGATGTGAGGGCAGCCATCAGTAACCCCCATAGTGGGGAGGCAGATGGCTGAGTCCACAGGGCTCTGGCTGGCGAGTCTGAGACAGTCTCAAAACAGTGATTGAGAAAGATCTTACATTGACCTTTCAGAGGCTCCCAAATGCACCATAAACACCTGCACACATTGGTACTACAGGAAAGAAAAATGCCTAAGACAAAACAAAAAACATAACTAACATTCTAGGTTTATGCCATAAATACCAGGTGATTCTATATCAGAAAATCTATTATTTAAATATTTGAAAAACTCCTCTGCCATACCTTTGTTGCACTCTGAGAGATAGGAATGGAGACATCTTTTCTTAACAAGTAAAGTGTGTGTCTTCAATCCTAAAGATCAGGCTGCCTTGTCCCTGAGTGGGTGTCTTTTCCAAGCCAGGAACAGCCAGGATCCTTGTTGCCTCTGCTACTTAATAGTCTTGGAGACATTAACATTAATTAGCACAAGGATAGATCACTAGAACCCTGAGAGTAATAAAAACATATATTTGCAAGTCAAATGATAATGTACCAAAAACCCCTTGAAATCAATGACAAATTTGTTTTGAAAAATAATCTAAGGTAGTTAAAGATAAAATTAATACAAAAAAAATGTGGCCCTCACCTGTAAAAATTTCAAGTTGCTAAATGGTAGCATGAAAGAGAAAATTAACACTTAAAAAGAATAAAATTCATACAAAAATTTCAGAACAGCTAAAAACCTGAAGCAGGTGAGGGCAAATGAGTAGGTGGATGTTTCATGTTCCCGATTAGTGTTCCTAATAAATAGCATGATCTTGTCATTCTCAAGTCAGTATATGAATTAAATGAGACGTAATTACCCAAAGACTGGGCTTTGATGCCAGACATGTGTTATTTCCTCCATACCTGTGATCACAGGACCTGATAGAGCAACTTAAAAGCAGGAGTTGTTTCTCTTGGCTAATGGTTTCCTGGGTCCCTCTGTCCTGGTAGGAGGGAGTTGAAGCACCTTAGCTCACAGCAGCCAGGAAGCAGAGAAAAGATTGCAAGAGGAGCTTCGTGGACATGCTTCCAGTGACTTGCTTTCTTCTAGGTCATTCCTCCTACTTGTTAGCCCTCACAATTGTGCCATCATGTCATGAGTCCTGCAGGAATTAATCTATAGGTCAGGCCAGTGTCTGGACAATCGAGGATCCACAACCTGGATACACTCCAAAGTGTGCTTTACTAAAGCCAGGAATCTCACCTTCCAGGCACACGTCCACAGCCTATCAACTAGATACCCAAACACATCTGAAAGTATAGCCTTCCACCTCTGGCACCTTGAGAGGTTCATGAACACCTTCTACAACCTTGAGTCCCCGTCATGCTTAATAGGTTCAACATTGAAAGCCCAAGTTCAAAGTCTCTTCTGAAACCCAAAGTAAAGTCACCTGTGAACCTCTGTAAAGTAAGGGGGGCGGGGAGTTACATATTCCCAAAATACAAGAACAAGAGACAGAACTAGAGCAAAACTAAATGAACCCAACATTGAAGCACTAATCCAGAGCGGGTAGTGTCAAGATGTGGGCTCTAAAACTGGGGTAACCCCTGCCCTTAGGGCCTCAGGCTGTTTCTGCTCAGTGCCTATGGCTTTTCAAAGTAGATCTTACACAGTTCTGGAATCTTTCAACATTCCAGTTTGGGTATCACAGTCTCATAGTTTCATGCATTGACCCCCAAAGGAGCTTTTGGTAGGGACAATGACCTTCCACTTATTTCCTGGCCTCCAAAGCCTTCCTCTGGAAGCTAGTTGAAGCCTCCAACAGATAAAATGGCATGCCTGAACAAGTGGCAGCATGTGAGCATCCCCAAGTTCTGCCACCTGGAGTAGTAGCCACTTCCCCTGCACCCTAGCTATAGTGACTCTGAGTGGCTACATGGCTGAGCTCAGGAAAACCCTGTGTAGGCTTTAACTCTTTGACATCTTGCTGGTGAAGCTGTTGGTGGATCTGTCAATTCCTGGGATATTGTTAGGATTAGATGTTTGTGTTCAAAACAAGACTCAAGGGTGTGAGGAAAAATTGTGATGAGATACTCTAAGAGAGGACTCTAGACTCTGATTATCAAAATTCACAGAAATGCCAGTAGGTAGGACGTAGTGCTGTGTGTTGAGTGTAGGGAGAGACATTTCTGCAAGAGAAAGTTGGGAGAAGACCCAGCTGTGTGTGGAGGCCTGCATGAATAAGGATAGCAGCTTTCAGATTACTGGGCTCAATTGCCATCCAGTGTGTCAGAATAACCATACAGGAAACAAATGATAGGAAATTCATTGCCCACACTGGTGAAACAACACATTTGGAAAGCAGAGATCAGAGACCTCTTGGCCCTAGGAGTGCTGGTGATAAAACATGGGAGTCTTTGTGGCTCCCAAAGCCTCTTAGTTTACTCTCATAGTTTCTTACTTGGGAGAGGGGGTACACTCTGGGGTAACAGAACGTCCTCGTGGTAGCAGGTGGCATGACAGCTGTAGCCAAAGCCCAGAAAGAAGAGCAGTGCGTGTCAAACAGGGCCACCTACAGGCACATTAGGGAAGAGGGTCATTGCATGGGCAGTAAAGGGACAAGCTGTGTTCCTTGTATCAGTTTTCCAATTGCTGTGGTGCAGTATCTAATAACAGTAACGTAAGGTAAGAAGAGGCTCCCAGTTTGAGAGAGTAGTCCATTAGGAGGACCTCCCTGGCGAGAGCTGAGCTTGCTGGGCAATGGGAGCATAGGGCCAGTCACTGGTTACCTCCCAACTGCATTCGGGAAGCAGAGAGAAAGCTTCTGCCCTTCCTGGCTGGGGTTGGTGCCCAGGGACACTGCTGCCCAGTGGGTCTTTAGGGTGGGTCTGCTCTCCTCAGTTAAGCTTGTCTGGAGGACATTCTCACAGACATGACCCTAGATGTGTCTCAATCCAGTCAGGGTGACGGTGCACACGAAATTACCACAGCATCCTAGAGTTGTTTAAAATGAAGCAATGTAGAACTAATTGTCTTCTAATCCTGACGGCTGGACATCTGAGATCAAGGTGTCAGGAGGGTTAGCTCT